TTTGTATTATTGGCAAATTGTGTTACTCTACACAAACCTCTTCATTGAGCAATTAATGAGTGGAAGGTGGTAGAATTTAGTCCTATTACAGAATCATGAGAGGCTCTAGCTAAGGTCATGCTTCAGGCATTCCTGTGCATACATGTAATAGGGAGAAGCCCTCCAAAAGGAGGGTTTGCAGCTACTCTAGACGAGATGTCATCACTGTTTGCCAGCGTGCAGGGCCAGACCATGTGGCCCGTGATCAGCCTATGAAAGACACATCAGGGAAAGGAATTAGCCACCCACAAAAAGCAGATAGGCAGAAGGCTGCTGCCGTAAGGATCTCATAAGAAGTTTTGTGCATAGATTTAAACCTAATCCATGAGGTTTTTGCACTGGAAATGTCTTTGGCATTCTCAGACCTGTCAATACTCATGACAGCTCCACAAATGCAGGCACAGTCTGAAGCTGGGAAGAAGCGAGGCTTGTTTTGTCATTTTACAGATAGGAAACTGGAGCACATACAAATCAGGGGTGCAATTCACAGGCCTAAATATAAGCATCTACTACCATTGTAAACATCTGAAGGTATCCAAAATGTCTGCATGGAGCTGGCAGATGCAGGCAGGACCTACAGGAGGTCCACAGTCTGATGGGCCAGAGCTGGAGGCTGAGCAGTACACCAAATAGGAACTGAAAATGGCTTTATATTTAGAAACCTGAACTGCTCTCTGAATCATTGTTCATGGACTGAATATCTACTGCAGGACAGGAATTTGGAAGCAGGTATTTTGTGAGGTGGTTCATTTGCTTTCATGTCTACACTTTCAAAATATGTATAATTCAAGTACTCTTTACCATATCATGTCATGGACATGTCTATTCCCTTCTGTCCAACACAGAGGAACATTTCTGAGAAAATCAGAATCTGAGAGGTTCCTCAGTCTTGGACCTTAATGTAATAGAGGAAATCCATTTATAGACAGCAATTACTGAAGCTCTATGTTGTTTGTAAATATGTAGAATGAGTTCATTGCATAAACAACCAATACCACTTGATTTCAAATCTAGGGGGGAAAAATTGCAAATTTGGTCCTTCAAAAGCCAACTTATTTCCTCCCCATAATGTCTTTTATGTGAGAATTTCTTGAGCTTGGGAAATCCCATCAGGATCAGTTCGGCTTAAATATTTCCTTTCCAGCCCATTCAAACTGCTGTCTATTAAATGACTTTGTGGCTTCCTGACACTGTAGGCAGCTTAGCTGAAAATTTGATTAAGTAAAATAATTGCCTGTTGTACAGCAAGAATGTGAGGTTTTGTGGGAGAGCTGGGTTTTTGTCATTCATCTCTGTCAGGCCATTGCATTTTGATGCACATTTGAATTGATGTCATTGCTGACAAATCAGTCCCTGCCCATCCTTTGCTTTATTATGTTTTCCATTGATATTTCTGAGAAAATAAAAAGGATCTTAAAGTTTCTTAAGGACAAGATCTGCAGTCCCAGTATCAGCTCTGGGTGATCTCTAACTACATATCACTAGTAAGGATTTAGCCAATTGAGTTATTATAGCTTAACTAAAAGAGCTCCAGCAAAGTTAGAGGGTAATATCAGCTTTCAAACAAGATAGGAGATATCTCGCAGAGATGTGGAGAGCAGCTCTCCTCATTGAGTCCTATCCTATCACACAGTGTAGTGTAATCAGAAGCTTTGACTTGGGAAAAACCCATGAATTCAGTCAGGTGTCAGAGCTGGACACAAAACAAGGATGGTGGCTATTGGTTAACTGCTCCATTAATGCTGTGTGGGACAGAAGCTCTTCAGTGCCATGTACCTCTTGTAGTTCCAGCACTACATTGCATTCTCAGCAGGCAGTTTTGGACAGCTTTTCTCATCTCCCAAACCAGATTGCCGTTGAGTTCATGGACATGAACTCGTGTAAGACCAAATAGTCAGTCAAGGAATGGTAGCCAGGAAGGAAATAAGAAGGAGGGAGAAGTAGGAAGGAAGTACCCTGTTGCACCAACACATAGAAATGAATAAAACGAGACCACTGTATCATGACACGTCAATGTACAAAACCAAACAGGTTTGGTTTTTAAGGTGTTTCAGGTGTTTGTGTTGTTAATGAACATCATTCTGTCTGTGGTGTAATGTTAGTGTGATCTTCTTGGGTGTAAAATCCTCATATCACCCATTACTCTTCAGTATATAATAGGTAAATATGTTTTGATATTGCAAGTTTGTTAGTTTTAGGGATCCGCTGGCTGACAAGGTATTCCTGTTGACCAAAAGGAAGGTTTCAAAACTTGGTGGTATAAATAAGCTAGTTGATCTTAATACTGTTATCAACAGGTTTTTCATCTTGACTAACATTTGAAATAGAGGTTCAGTGATATGTCTGATTTACAAATACAGATGACACTTTATGAGGAAAATTGGGAATAAGAAAAAATGTGATAGACAGTGTTCCAAACAAAGTCAGTAGTTGACCAGCAGTGTCTGCACTAGCGTCAAGCATCAATGGATAAGACGACACATACTTCTGAGTGATCTGTACTCCTGAAGGATTAGGAATTTTCAAATCTCAGTCTTGGATAAACATTGTATTAGAAATACTGAGATGGACTGATATAGATAAATAAGGCATTCAGAATACCTTGGAAGATCACAGGAAAAAGAAGCTGGAAAGGGTTTTGAGAGGACATCTACTCACTCTGCCCCCTCAAGGCAATATAAACTATACCTGTGATATTCCTGACAGACACTTGTCTAACCTGTTTTTGAAAAAAACACCAGTGATGGAGATCCTTCATCTTCCCTAGGTAATCTATTCCAAGGCTTAATGAGAAAGTTTTTCCTAACGACTATCCTAAATCCCCTTTGCAGAAATTTAAGCTCATCAATTCTTGTCCTATCTACCAGGGACACGAAGAAGAGATTATTCCCTGTCTGTGTGAATACACTTCAAAATTATGAAAATTTCTGGCTTCATTTCCCTGGGATAGGCTTTGCAATTTCAGGAGGTAAAAGAAGACTGGTAGGGAAAGAAGAAGTCAGGAAGCAGGAGAGAGCAAGTGTATAGGAGTAGGATTTCATACCTATAAACTGCTATATGCAGATATAAAAGTGATGTATAATGGATGTACATTTTATGAACTAAGGTGTTAGAAATCAGTAAGAGTGCAGTCTAAGACCACAAACAGCCATGGGAAAACTTCTGATTTTTGACAGGGATCATATCAGGACCACAAAGATAAAACTTGTTAGCGTGTCTTGGTTGTCTGCCTCAAAGGCTGATTCTGATGCCAGTTTCATTTTGCAAAGTGGCAATTGATTTCTGACTTTGTTTTGAGGTCTTGGCAGGAGGGCAAATTTGAAACAGAGAGAAATTATTTTTATCACACTGGGTAATAATAAGATACATCTCCGTTAGCAAAGTAATTTAGACCAGTAGGAGCAGTCTGATAGGGTAAAACAGTTGGTGCTGAGGACCCCATATCCACACTCTGTGCGTTTCAGAGAGGGTGAATCTGGATTAGCTGTGGCACAAGCCTTTGAACTGAATGCCTCTAAGCAGTGGAAACACTGTATGTGCACTTCTGGAGAACACCTCCTGGTGTATTTCCAACAGGAATACAGCTGATGCATGCCAGTGTGTGATGTGAAACAAGTGAACCAACACCCAACAAGTGAAGACAACTAGGAAATGCACTTTGTAAGTGCAGTCTTGATTTGAAATAAAATGCTAATTTCTTTCTAGGCCAAGAAAGTGCCAAGTTTTGCTCTCCACCATTTCAACAGACAGTGTCATGGCCAATTTGATATTAAGCTTCAAAACCAGTTACTCAAAGAGAAATAGTTTCTCTAACCAATACAAGCTTCAATCCGTGTGGCAGTTTTGCCTTTAAAGCCCTGGATTTTCAGGGCCAGATAGTATATATTCTGCAGTCAGTATATCCATTTAAGGAGTTCCCATCCTTCTCTTTCCTCCCAGTCACTGCTTGATCCCCTTGATCCCTCATTTTTGCTTACATACATGTTTATGAACTGTGAACTTGATCTGTGTTCTGAGGGGCAATGGGAGAGCAGACCAAAATGGCCAGAGTGACTGCAGAGAAAGTAATTACATCATCATCATCATAAGTGAAGAAAAAGATGTGAATCTTCAGTCTTGGGAAATGATGGACCTTGCCAACAAACATCTGTCTGAACCATAGGACTGACAAACTACTTCTGCAGTTATTTTCTGCTGCCCCTCAAAGTGAGTAGATTGCTTAAAGAAGGCATAGAGTGAGGGAGCTCATCCTAAGGGATTGCTTTTGCTGGATAGATGACAGAGGAAGAGCAGCATGGGTGATGAGGAGAAAACTATAGGGATCTTGGCAAGATGGTGAAGCCTTGGTAAGGATTTTAGTGTTGATTCCAGAAAAATGAATGACAGAAAGGAAAGGTATATAATGGAGGCTGTTTGGAAGCAGTCTCTAGCCCTAATGCTGCTTTTCTGGTGTCTCTTCCATACTTCAAACCTAATTGTATGGTCATTTGAGCCACAACAGACATCATCTTTTTTTGTCCTACTCAATTTTCAGCCAGGTCAGTGTCCCGATCTGCTTCACTGTGTGACCATACAAATGATCAATGGAGAATGGGGTTTAGGAGAAGGAGCAGAGGACCACCGGAGTCATCATGGCCACCTGAAAACCTCTGTGTAAGCTTTGTGCAGACAAAAATGAGGGAAATGCAAGCCAGACTGACTAAGATGAATGATAATGTTATTCATCCTTGAGGTTTGGAAAGCACTTAGCATGATTTAAAATGAAAGAAATGTCCAAATATAGAGACCTGTCTTGATCCCACTGGACACAAATCTCCTTGAAAGGCAGGATGAAATTCATTTTACCTGTCTTCAGTTATCTAAAAGTAAAATGTCTAAGCCAGTCACCCCAGGCTCCCTGTGTATTCCATCAGGAGAAACAGGTATTTCCAGAGGGTGAATGATCCCTTCTTAAGGTGGATGTCTGACACAGGTCGCTTAATTTTCTTTCAGAAGGTGCCAGTTTCTCCCCATTGTCTAAAAAAAAGAAGCAGAGTGGCTAACTCAGACTTAGATGATGAATTTTTAGGTGTGTAGAAGTAGGTGAGTTGAGCCCCATCCCAGGAAACCTCACTGTCGGGACACCACTGCAGAATCATATGGTCACAGTTGCATTTCACATACATGGCCAAAGTCCTAAGTGGCTTACATGTAAGTAAGGCCTCATAGGTCAATGAATGACAAAATTCCCTTACTCCAGGGCAGTAGGAGTCAGTCAATAATGAGAAACTACTTTTGCTGAGATGGCCTAATAATTCTTCCCACCAAGGAATTTGATTTGTGATCTATTTTTTTACCAAGACCTTTATCTGAAATCAAAGGAAGGATTGGACTTGGTGTGAGTCATCTCAGTGCCTCACCAAACACAGTAACAATTTGAACTTTTTAAAATTTGGAACAGATGTTATGATTTAATAATATAACAGAAATCACTGGAATCAGGTATATACTTTAAAAAAGCTTTTTTCTAACACGTGTGTGGATTTTCTTGTTTATTCAGTTGTGGCATTTCAGCATTCTGTTCAGCTGTAAATATTTTATTACATGCCATTTATTTCTGTAATGTACAAATGCTTTTGTCATACTCTAGTCAGGTTCTGTCATGATCAGAACAAGAGTTCAGTTCATTTTTTTCCCCATAAAACTGAGTTTGATTTTTCTCAGTTTTACCAACAAGCTACAAGCCTCCCAAATCCAGGCACTATGTAAAATTTCCTTGGTTTCACTACTGGCCTCACTAATGTTTAGATCAATAAACATCACAGTTTGCTATACCAAAAAAAGTCTCATTTTGAATCTTTCTGCTCCTCAGAGACTCACTCTGCATCCTGCCAGTGTGCTGATGCAACATCACCTTCTGTGTCATGAGGTGCCCCATTACACTGGGTCTATGGTAGTGCACAGTCAGTGTCCTAAGCAGAAAAAGGACATGAACATACATGAATAATGCACAATACACTTCTTACTCTACCTGTTTAGCTAAGCGTTAAAAAACAAAAGGCAAAACAATATAATTCTTATCTTTAAGCAGCAGATATTTTACATAGATTTCCCTCTTGTATAATTGCATGATTTATAAACTAAATCATATCCACAATAAATCACATCCACATTAAATGACATCCAGCGTAACTGGCATTTAGGTATCAGATTCCCAAGTGAAAGGTGTGTCATGGAGTTATTGTCTTACCCAGGGGAATAAAAAAATTACTGAGAGTTACTCAGATAGCTAGAAAATTGTGCCAAGCTCACCAGGAGCCATAGTAAGTATTACTATCTGTAGGGAAAAAATAAAAAGGAACAAACTGGGGTAAAAGTTTCAGGGAGCAGCTCCAGGGTATTTTCTCCTGTGTTTTGTTTGTTTGTTTGTTTTTTGTTTTAAAGCTACAAAAGCCAATCTTCACTCAGGAAATAGGATTTTTTGTTTACATGTGATGAGTTTGTCTTTTGACAGTTTTTCTCTTTAATCAGAGTTTGACTCTATCACAATAAATGGCATTTGTGTTCTTCTGATCAAAGAGCTAGACAAGATATAATTAGAAATACTTTAGCTGACCTTTCATAAACCATGATCCCCAACAAACTTGTTCAGAATCGCATTAAAAATGGTCTTACATCTTTTGTGGGTACAGACAAGATTACAGGATACTTTTATTTTAGAATAATTACACAGTGACCTTCAGTGTTATTTGCAAAGGTCATATTCTCTTCACATACCCTTGATTTCCTTTCAGTTTTCCCTTTTGTCCCACCAGACATAAATTTAGCAAAGGAAGAAGAAAGAGAGAGTATTTTTTCTGTGGTTGAAAACTGAAGAAGATAGTTCAAAGTCCCCATAGGCACTCAGAGGGCTGTGGGCTATGATAGGCTATTTTCTACCATTTAGCTCCTGTATTATCACTACTCCTTTTTCTTCATTATTCTCCACTTATCACATGCAGCATCACTACAGAGCCCAAATAGAGAGTTGTAATTACCCAGCTGCCACCTGATAGTACCCCTTCTATCATCTTTATCTCACAAGGCCTTGCTGTTTCATCATTGGATAAAACTTGCCCATGGCAATGCCTGTGATAGCACATCTCAGAGATACATTTAAAGTTTACTCATTTATCGCAGAAAAATGCTGAACCCATGCAATTATTAGATACACTTGCCAATTTATTTGTTCAGTAAGGCTACTGTAACTCCTTTTTTTATCAGCTATTTGTTCTGTTCTTCTTGAAAACACTGAGGTCACCATTGGGTACCGAGGTGAAATAGAAAATTTCTAAGCAATCCAGGCAGAAGGCAGCCCAGACACCCATTGATAAAAACAGACCTATGCTTTCCCTGGCTATGTGGTGTGAAATACCTGTATTTTGTGTATATTTTTTTTTTAATCTAAATCTATTTTTTTGAAGCTAACTTGTGGGTCACATGGCTTGGGCATCCCATGCACCCAAAGGAGATTTCATGCGCTGTGCTACGACTGTCAGGTTCAATCCAGAAATACCACATTTGGGAAATAAGTAATCTACTGACAAGCATAAAAACTGAGCGTAAAAATGTGAGGACATAATATTAAATGTATCCAGATGCAATTGCTCTATGAGTAGTCAGCATCTGCTCTGCCCTGCATGTCTGAGTCTGATATTTTAAATTGGTATTTTTCTCTGGGATCAATGTACGCTTCCTGTCCTTTAAAGAGAAATAAAATATAGGAAACAGGAGAACTGAGAGTAAATGAGAGTTAAAAATATTTTTTTCCCTAAAATTTTCAAATTACATTTACAATATAGCAACAGCAACACTTTCAGCTGAATCCCATGCCAGTGCACGCTATGGGGAGCCCCACAGAGCTCCCACTTACTGTGTGAGATTCTCACTCATTTTACCTGGGCAGTGGGGCAGACGGCCTGAATTCAGGCTGTGCTGATTTGCTCTGCAACCTTGGTCAGTGCATGCAGGATTTGCAAAAGTAGGTGCTGAAGTGAGACATGGTGAACAAAATCAACACAGGCCCAGCAAAAACACTGAGATCCCAGCACGAAGACATCCCAGAAACTCCTCAGGATTCCCTTGGACCAGCCAGACTCACAGCAGCTTGGCTCAGGCATGATCCTGTCTCCATGCAGGAGGGTCTGTATATCTCTCTGGTTGCATCTACTTGTCCCCAAGGTAGGGAAGGTAAAGCAGGGTGAGCCCGTCTGGCTCCATGCATATCCAGGTACCTAAAGTTGGTCTCACCTGGTACAGAGGTGACTGCTTCTTTCCTGAATCCCAGCTGGCCCAAACAGCAGCAGAGCAACACTACATAAGAGTTAATAAACTTGGCTAGATCTGAGCGGCTTCTGCATCCCAACATCCATGGTTTATCAGCCACCTGGATAAACCACCCACGGGTAGTTGAGAGTTGTCGAGAGAACTAGGAACCTATGAATAGGAGTCAGAGAAGCCAGAAAATTTAGAAGAGCCTTGCCAGAGCTAGTCAGTGGCAAATTTGTGGAAGGAAGGTATGGCAGAGCTGCTGCTCTGCGAGGGCATTT